GGGGGGGGGGGGGGGGGGGTAGCCTTGCAATTTTCCCGTCAATACACACGTCAACCGTAACGTATCCGTGGATATTCTGAGCTGCACCGGGAACACGAGACAATGAAAAATGCACACGGTACGACATATAGACTTTTGTGTCCAAGTTGCAACTGCAGGCTGCACCAGCAGCAGAATGGTCGACTGCTCAATAATTCTTTGTGTGGTTAAGCGAGACGCGTGGATACGTGCTGCGTGCTGCGTGCTGCGTGCTGCGTGTGTGTTTGCTCTTTTGCGAAATTGCTCTCTCTCTCTCTCTCTCTCTCTCGCTCCTGCACCCGTCACTCCGACCCCCCAGGCGTCCCTTACGACTCCTCCTGGATATTTCATCGAAGCCCCCCGCCGTTTCTCGGGTAATCGAGCGCCACGTGAATCCGAGATTCGAACGCTTGGAATATGAATCGGCGACTGGCATTAAGGCGACTGCAGTTACAAACGAGAGACGATAGCGACAGGTCAGTCAGATGCTCGGCGATGGATGCTGGCGAGAAGCCACGTAGCAGGACTACACGGGCAAAGGCTCTAAGGGCTGCTGCAGCCTCATTCAGCAGTCTGCATCTCAATTTGTTTCGACGTGAAGCCAACCCGGCCGGCACGATGCACGCCGCTAATGGAAACGAGGGCTTCATTGGGCTTCTTGCTCGGCAAGAAGACAGAGAGACTCGGCCGGGCCGCGAGGGCGCTGAATTAAACATGTCCCAACCCTGCGCGCCGCCGCCGCCCCCGAGCCTGGGCATTGCCCACTATTAACTGCCTTCAAATTACCCGCCACACTCCTGCGCGCGGATCCTGCATTTTTCACGAGACGTTTGCGTTTCCTCGGGCCTGAATGTCCACGGCTAAACCGCACGACGCGCCGACCATTCTTCCTCTCCTTTACTTCGCCTTCGTTCCTACGTCTAGGCTGGGTTCTCTTCTCCGGCTCGGCCGCTGATCTTCCCTCCTGGGTCTTGGTCCAGCTCACCTCAATCTTCACACGGCCGCCTCAGCCGAGGAAGGCGTGCGGCATTAATCGGGGCCTCGTAAAATTCAATATTAACTCGACGGCTATTGCCTGGCAAACCCTCGCTCGAGAAATTACTTATTTCGGCTCGTAAAGCCGCCACCGAGAAAAACGAATCGCTGGCGACACGCCCGTCGTTCCCTTTTTCATCCACCTACGTCCTGCAAATGCGTATGCATGCGGGTCCGCCTTCGCGTTTAACTCCTACGCCACTCTTGATCACGTGTCGAACCTTCGTCATTCTTGAGGAACGCGCGTTTCTGCCTCGCGCACCGGAACTGCCTTTATTTAGATATTTTTCTTTCGCGTCCGACCATGTACCCTTTCGAACGAAAACCAATAGAATCTTCTGTCGCGATAGCACAAAGTCCAGACTCTTTATTCGAGCCTGCAGAAACTCCTAGGAACTTCTTTAGTAGCCGGCTTGCAAAATAGCTAAAGTTTCGTGGCGACGATAACGCGACTGCGAACTGGACCGGATACTTTATTCGCGACGTTAAGGCGCGTCTCTGTACGCAACAAGCGACAAGAATCGGCCTTCCGCTGGTGCGATATTTCAACGTGCTATTGTCGCAGGACGACCAGCATGTCGAGGACCGAGTAGACGTCGCGAGTACGAATAAAAAGTAAAAGTCTAAAAATTTTCCAACGACGTTAATAGCCAACGGTTTGTCTGCGCGCTATAGAATATTTATGGTGACTCGAGGAGCGAAAATATATTTGAAAAGCAACGAGAACGAGAAAGGGAGAGAGGGGAGGATTACGTGTAAAATTAGCCAAAGGTCGTTCTCGCGCTGCGTTCGCCCCGTAGTCCGGGTCCTCCGCGTCCCTTTCTCGGATTTCCCGAGGAGTTTCGGCTAATTCCAGCAAATATTTGCACTGAAAGATAGGCGGAAGGTATAAGGTATCAGGCAGCAGGCAGGACTTTCGGTCAACAGGCATCACCCGTAGCTACAGGACGATCCTATAGCGGACGGCCTAGGAGTTTTCCCTACCCAGGATGCACCGGAAGTTTCTAATCAGATTACCACGGATTAGTCAAGTTCGTTTGTCCTAATGAAATTCGTCTAAATTACCGCGTAGCACAGGGAGGGTTAAGGGGGGAGATCAGCCAAATTAAAAAGCCCCTTTCGTCCCGCTGCCAACTGGAGGCACCCAAGTAACCTTATGATAAAGGGGTGGTGAGGGCTGTGGTAGCACTTTCAAATTTGACACGGCGAACGACCATTATTCTAAACAGGCCAGGCAACAGGCTATAAGTAAAATATTGTCAAAATCCCTGATAAACATAAAGGGTGTCGTGTTATACTCGACTATGTAAAACTTGGCGTGGAAATCGCGCGACGTGGTTTCCGTTTGATCAGTCAAATAAACGTGTGACGTCATGACACACTGAGGGTAAACAGAAATGCGGTACTCGAATCCCAACCACACGTGTTAATTGTCATACAAACGTGCGAGCGGGTACGCGGCAAAAACACATTCGGGCTCGTTTGTAGCGCTGGAAATGCGATAGTGTGGAGCACCCTTAACGTTACAAGGGGGTGTCGGCGGCTGTTGCACGGATCCTGCTGGTAGTTTGTTACACGCAGCCACGTACAGCCGTAGCACTGGGGGGGCTAGTTTACGCCTATGGCTTCATATTTTATTCAGCCCTCTAATGTTTAAACTATCGCAGTGATACTCTGGCTAACCGCGTCCCTCGACAACCCCTGACGCTCCACCCTCCCCGTCCCTAGCTCCGATCCCACCCCACTCGGCCCACACCCTTCCGCACCGTCATTGACCATTCGAATAAATAGATTTATTTATTTACGATAAATTGATGCCAGTCCGGTCGATCCCTGCTATGAGCGGATTCGATTGTTTTGCGTTCACACATCCCTATTCTGTTGACGTTATCAGTAATTAGTTTGTCATTATCGTTCATCGAATTCGAAGAATTGACAGGAGAATTTATTTGCTACTCTTTATCTTACTTATTTTATATGTTTTTTTTCTTTCCATTTTATCTTATTGCAGCGAAACAAACCGGATGAAGATGCTGCGGATACTGACCAGTCGGTATATATATATAGTATAGATGTATCGGACCAATCGACGAATATCGATACTTCGTTTTAGAGGTTAACTCGAGGCTTGAATCTTTAATAGATTTGATCTTGTACTAAATAATGTCTTATCGATCTTTTCTAATCTTTTTCTTTGCCAGCTTTCTCTCTCTCTCTCTCTCTCTCTCTCATACTTTCAATAGCCACTACATTTATGAGTCTTTACAATACTCTCGTTCCGCCATTGCTTCGATCGCTTGTGTACAGATAAGCGCACAGCCATGCGAATCTTTAGCAGGAGAAACGCAGGTAGGAAACCACTTTTGCGTAAAGACCGTTATTATCTACGAATCAAAACTTTATCGGATTTCTTGCCGAACGCAAACAGCA